GAGGCAAGCTGTTTTCACAACCCAATGACTCTCTTCTGCTGCCTCAGAGAGAGATTGCCTCCTGCAAATCTGAAATTTAACAAATCTGCCTCATCTGCTCTTCTGAACCGAACTGGGACTCGGAGGGCTTCTGACTGAAGCCTTTCTCCTGGAGGTGTGCCCCTCCCTTTGGGAAGTGGATTCTTTCAGTGCTTTGTGAGGTCCGTCACTGCTGCACCCTCTCCCCACCCTTCTCTTCACCTTTCCCCACAATTTGCGCCTGACGTCGGCTGCTTTTAGCAGACCTTTCATATATTTTGGAGTCTGAAAAGTATCTCTCTCTCCAAGTTTGATTGAAAATGGAGTTCGTGGGTTTTTTCATTCTTTCTTCTTGCTGTTATTTTACAATTTCCCAGAGAAGATGAAAATGCAGACTTCTGCAGCTCTGTTCATACCAGAAGTCTTAATGAAGTCATTTTTGACCCAAGGACCACAATTTCTGGAACTAGGAGGCAATTCAATCAACCTTTGAGCTCTGTCACACAAAGTTTTATTAGAAACATAATGGGGATTTTGGAGAGAGGGCTGGTGAACCTTGTGTAGTGAAATAGAAACTTGAATTGCCAGCATAGAGTACTTAATTAAGAGATAAGGAAATTCACTCATTCATGAAAAAATAATTGAACAACTGCTTGCGCTAGGCATTTTACTAAGCAGTGAGGTGATAATTATTGTTGGTAGGGTTTGTCTAATTCATTATTAGAATATTGTTTCCGCTGAACTCAGTTGCTTGGGGATAATAAAACCAACCTTATCTACTTTAAGAAGAGGCTGAAATGAGTTTCAATATGTGAAAACAGTTGGTGGAGTTCTGGTATACTGAAAGGGGAATTTGGAGCCATTATAAGCTTTTAAGGAGTGAAGTATTTTATTTTTATTTTTATTGAAATTAGTTGGTTTACAATGTTGTCCTGGTTTCTGGTGTACAGCAAAGTGATTCAGTTATACATATATGTATCTATTCTTGTTCTGATTCTTTTCCATTATAGGTTATTACAAGGTATTGAACATAGTTCCCTGTGCTACAGAGTAGGTCCTTGTTGGTTATCTATTTTATATCTAGTAGTGTGTATATTTTGATCCCAAGCTCCTAATTTATCCCTTCCACCCTTCCTCTTTGGTAAACGTAAGTTTGTCTTCTATGTCTGTGAGTCTATTTCTGTTCTATAAATAAGTTCATTTGTATCATTTTTTTTAGATTCCACGTGTAAGTGACATCATATGATATTTGTCTTTCTCTGTCTGACCTACTTCACTTAATAAGATAATCTCTAGGTCCATCCATGTTGCTGCCGATGGCATTCTTTCTTTCTTTTTTTTTTTTTTGGTGGCTGAGTAATATTCCATTGTACATATGTACCACATCTTCTTTATCCATTCATCTGTTGATGGACATTTAGGTTGCTTCCATGTCTTGGCTATTGTAAATAGTGCTGCTGTGAACATTGGGCTGCATGTGTCTTTTTGAGTTAGAGTTTTCTCCAGATATATGCTCAGGAGTGGGATTGCTGGATCATATGGTAGCTCTATTGTTAGTTTTTCAAAGAACCTCCATACTATTTTCCATAGTGGCTGCACCAATTTACATTCCCACCAACAGTGTAGGAGGGTTCCCTTTTCTCCACGACCTCCCTAGCATTTTTTTTTTTTTGATTTGTTGTTGTTGTTGCTGTTGGCTGGGCCACATGGCTTGTGGGATCTTAGTTCCTTGACCAGGGATTGAACCCAGGCCCTTGGCAGTGAAAGCACGGAGTCCTAACCACTGGACCTCCAGGGAATTCCCTCCAGCATTTATTATTTGTAGACTTTTTGATGATGGCCATTCAGGAGTAAAGTATTGTGATCACAGAAATGGGTGGAGCTTGTGTCTGGTTCCTTTGAGCCCAGGAAGCCACTGACCGGTACAGAACACAGGACGTCAGGTGGCCGCAACACGGCCAAGGGTAGAGTTGGCCTATGACTATAATAGAAACAGAGTGTAGGGACAATGCCTCAGGGCTTGAGGCAGGCAAATTATGGCAGCAAAGGTGAGATTGACTAATGGAATTGCATGAACCAAGAGTCAAATGGGGGCCGGAAGGCAATGAATGGACAGCCCTGATGCAAACTCAGTGCTTTCTCATTTTCCCACAGTGGAAATGGGGTCAATTTCCATTTATATTAGGTGCTGATCCAGAAGTCCCCATTTTAGACCTGAGTTCCTGGAAACAGACTCTGAAACCCTGAGATTAGCATACAGGAGATTTAATGGGGAGTCCTCTTGGGAACAACACCTGTAAGGGCATGAAGGAAGCAGGAGTGGGCAGTAGGAAAAGTTGGTCCACAATGTAGCTGCAGCAGAGGCCCCAGCTAATCTTATGGGGAGCTCTGCAGTTGTAATGGCCTATCAGCGTTGTCCCAAATTAAAGCAAGGGGGCAAGTGTTTCTTTCTCCTCAGTATCCAGGCGCTGGATATGAGCTGGCCCAGGAAGGACAGTCCTGAAATGAGACCAGCTGAGAGCCCCAGATGTCCGGCCTCCTGGTAGACGGTGCAGTGAGTGGCCCTCCGTCCTGCATGGGGTGTGTGGACGGCATCCCACAGCACCCACTAACAGTCTCCTCCAGCCTAATGCAGGATGGCCACTGGCTCAGGAGCTCAAAACTGCTGCCTCTTAGGTCTATAATTTTTCTTTTGTCTCATCTTTTCCTACTTTGCTCCTCTCCCCCACCTGCAACGTTCACTTTAACTACAAAAACCTCCTCGCCACTACCTGACCACACAGTGTGCTCTTGACACCACACCTGCCTTTTCATGTGTGATTTCATCAGCTTAGAATGTCCTTCCTCCCTTCCATTCATCCAAATCATGCTCTTCTTATAAAGCCGACTTCAAAAGCTACTTGTATTATAAAATTTGACATTGAATCGATCTGGGGTCCTGAAGCATTTTGTTTGTGACTTTGTTATCCTATCTGTCCTGCTTGCACTATAGTCGATCTTGTGCTTGTGTTTTCCCTTCTCAGATTATAAATTCCATACATACAGAGCTCACTCCTTTATCCTATATTCTATCCATTACCTAGCATCCGGTTTGGCACAAAACAGACTCTCAACAAATAGGAATTAATTGCATCAAATGTCCCAAAGTGTTATGAGAGTTTCTTGGGAAGAACCTACCTAAAGATCTGAAGACCTTTTGCCATCACCCTGTATTCTTCCTTCTCATGGGAAGCAGGTAACACATCTATTTAATAGAATTTGAGTACCAACTACGGGACAGATCCTGACAGGGCTATTTCTTGTTATTCTTTTTGTTGTTGCTGTTGTTGAGGTAAAATTCACATACTATAAAACGAATCATTTAAAAATGTGCAATTCAGTAGCATTTAGTACATTCACAGTGCTGTGCAGCCATCACCTCTATCTAGTTCCAAAACATTTACATCACCTCCAAAGCAAACCTGCTTCTTTTGTTCTTAAAGAAATTACACCTAGCCTGTGTTCCCCAGAAGCGAGGCATATTGCAACAAGAAAAGGATGGGTCTAATGTCTGAAAACTTATTGTTAAACTCACCTTAAAAAGGGCTTCTGGGGCTTCCCTAGTGGCGCAGTGGTTGAGAGTCCACCTGCCAATGCACGGGACACGGGTTCGTGCCCCGGTCCGGGAAGATCCCACATGCCGCGGAGCGGCTGGACCCGTGAGCCATGGCCGCTGAGCCTGCGTGTCCGCAGCCTGTGCTCCGCAACGGGAGAGGCCACAACAGTGAGAGGCCCGCGTACCGCAAAAAAAAAAAAAAAAAAAAAAAAAGGGCTTCTGTTGTGAGTGGCACACGTAGGGCAGCTTGCTTGTTCTTTGTGCGGAATCGACATCAAGAGATTTTGGAGGCATAATTTTTTGGTACTTGGACAGCTGGTGATCATTGGTCCTGATGCCCTCAAAAAAAAACCTTTGTGTCGAAATCAAGCTGGCTTGCTTTCTATGTTTCTGTTACTGAAGGGGAAGAAGGAACTTTCTTTTCAGTGTTCTGAGAGGATTATGTTTGGGTATCACCAGAGGTTTTAAATTCCCATCCTGAGGGGACACCCCCCAACTTTGGAACAAGGGAGGCCCTGACTGACTGGGGGTGATAAGTGACCCTACCCTCAGGTGGAGGGGTGGTAGCTGTGTGGTGTGCACCACAGCCTTGCTTAGCATTGTATGCTATGGACAAGGAAGGGACAGTAAAACCCCTTTGGCCAGTCTTTGTCTTTTGGTGTCCTTACTGGGGTTTTGGGTTTTTTTTTTTGTTTTGGCCATGCTGTGTGCCATGTGGGATCTTAGTTCCCCAACCAGGGATAGAACCCGTGCCCCCTGCAGTGGAAGCTCAGAGTCTTAACCACTGGACTGCCAGGGAACTCCCTCGGTGTCCTTAAATTTCTGTCTCCTTGTGATTAAATGAATGAAATTACAAGCTCCCTCAGGAAAGGGGAGGCAGTCACTGGCTGGGAAGTTCAAAACCACACTTTATCTATGACTAAGGAACATAGATGCTTTCAGTAATCATCTTATTTCTTTTTTTCAATCACTCTGAACTGTATTCTGCTTTACAGATGCGAGGAAACTGAGGCTAAGAGAGGAAAGTAATGTGGTCAGACTCACAAGGAAACACAGAGGTAGGATTTGCAGACCCTGCCATATGGTGCGGAGGTTTCCTAAGGAAACACTGCCTAGGAACCCGGCCCACCCCCACTCCTTATCCATTCTAACCTCCAAGCGTTGTTGTGACAACATGTAGCGACTCCTTTCCCCATCCCAAGTGGTGATCTTAACAGTGAACCCTTTAATTCTTCCTCTCGGGGACATCCATCTCATCTATGACATGTAGCAAAGATGATTAATCGAGACAATTGGAATATTAGTGGCTCAGATTCTCATCCCCATCTGGAGACCAAACACACACATACCAAGGAGAAACCATACACAGGTTTATTTTATTGTATTTTATTGTATTTCTACAAAGGCAACATCAACTTACCCTGTTAAAATCACTTCTGAAAATAAATTTTCTGGAAATGCATTCTTTATAAATGTAAAGCATGCAATAATGTGTAAATTTACAGAAACATTTTAAACTGGTTAACTCAGGTAATAGTCTGTAAAATAGGTTTTGTTTCTGGAGATAGTACAGGTATCCCTAGACTTTCTTAAAGTCTTTACTTAATTCTGATTAAGGCTGTACGAACAGAGATTTATCTTAATGGTGTAAAATGATTAATTACATAATTAAAATGACCTGTAAGAACTTTTGAGTCATCCAAAAGTTAAAAAGCAGGGCCAATATTTTAAAAGAGAGGATGACACCTTGGAAAGTCATTTTTATGCCACATCAGCGATAACTTTTAGTGGATTATTCTTGCCTCACTTGACGGCAGGCACTTCAAAATGATTAAGGAAAAACTGTCATACTTGATTAGTCCTCATCATTTTTGGTTTTGAAGGAAATGTTTGTAAATGAGTAAAAGACCCCAAATAAATGTGTCTGGGCCTATGTATTATTTTTTTAATTTGAATATTCATCTGTTATAATTAAAACAAAACATGTCCACAAGCATATGAAGCTGTGTTTGGAGTTCCACAAGTATGTTTAGATTTGTTAATGCCTTGTATTTCATGTTTGGAAATCAGACCACGCTAATGCCTTTTTCTCCTTATGATTGTAATCAGCATTGAAAGCTTGGCTTCCATTAACAAATAATCCTTCACAATAAAAGAATCAAGATCTAAGTTCATTACTTCACTATTGGTTTCTGCAGACACCTGGCTACATGGAGTATACCATGCTTCAGATATATTCTTAGGAAAACACTGAGACAGCATGCCGAAGTTTTCTATATTGTTTCACAAAAAGCTAGAAGTTAATTAAAGGGCTCATTTTCACATCAAGAAGTAGAGATTTACTCCCCCAGTCAATTCTCTACAGTCCCCTCTAGAGAATCCCATGAGTTCAGGTTAGAAGGGACTGGTCTTCCCTTTCCAAAATCATCCAATTCCTCATTGAAACACTGCTCAGAATCCTCCTCAGGTTTACTCATCCCTGCAGGAAAGCCTGGTGCGAGGAAGGACACCTTGGTCCGGGTGAACTCTGGTCACACTGAACTTGTACTTGGCAGGAAGAAAAGCTGACTGCAGGGTGAGAAGCCCTACTTTTTGCAGTGGATATAATTCTTCCCGGTACTTGTTCAGGAAACTCTTACTACAATACAATTTTAAATAAGCTCTTAATTTGAGAAGCTTATTAACTCTGCTTTTTGCATTTTCATCTTTTACAGAGCATCACGGAGATCGTGGTCCACCGTGGACTGTGTGTAAGATGAGCTGGGGGTGTCGGGGTAAATCGGGAGGAACCTACAGTACTGGCAGAGCACCGAAGTGCCCCGGCAGGTTTTGAAGAGCTGTACGATGTACTTGCGAAATTTCTGCCCCAGGAAAAAGTAGATGACCGGATTAAGGCAGCAGTGAACAAAAGCCAGGGTCTCTGTGGCCTGAATGGCATAGTCCAGGTGCCTCTCAAAGGTGCAGTCTTGAAGGACCTCCAGCTCCACCAGGGTGTCCAGGAAGAGCACCACGTTGTAAGGGGTCCAGAACCCCAGGAAGAGGACCACCACGGCAAAGATCATCTTCACTGCCTTGTTCTTCTTCTCATTTTTGCAGTGCTGCAAGGTCCTAATGATCATGGAGTAGCAGAACAGCATGATCCCCAAGGGGATCACCAGCCCTAGAACGTTGATCTCCAGGGAGCTCAGAACCTTCCACCTCGTGGAGTTGAAAGAATACTTGGTTTTGCAGTAGGTGTGGTTGTGCTCAGTATAACACGTGCTGAACACAAGGCCTGGGAGGGAGGCGAGCACAGCCACTGCCCACGTGGCCACGCTGGTGATGACCCCGTAAGTCAAGGTCCTCGCTCTCAGGGAGAAGACCGCGTGCACAATGGCCAGGTACCTGTCGATGCTCATGAGTGTGATGAAGAATATGCCGCTGTAGAAGCCCACCAGGTACATCCAGTAAACTAGCTTGCAGAGGCCGAGCCCGAACACCCACTGGTCTGCGGCATAGTAGCCCCAGAAAGGGAGCGAGAGCACAAAGAGCAGGTCCGAGATGGCAAGGTTGAGCAGGTACACGTCGGTCATGGACTTGAGCCGCTTGTACTTGAACAGGACCAGAACCACCACAGAATTTCCAAGCAGACCAAACAGAAAGACCAAGGAGTAGAGGGGGGGCAGGAAAAGCTCCCCAAATGCCTTGATACCTTCCTTGGTGCAAGGTTTGGGGATGCTTTCATAAAGATAATAATTGTTATAGATGCTTTCATCCAGGGTGGTGTCTGCTCTGCCCGTGGGGTTCATTTTCAGATTTACAGGCTTCTCACGGCAGGTCTGAGCCCAACCAGAAGAACCTAATGAGTGGAAGGGCCAATAAGATTTCTATCAGAAGAAAAGCAAATCAGAACGGTGCTGCGTACAGAGCACAACTGCTTCGTATTTTGCCCAGATCACCATACACTCTTCCCAACCTTCCCACATTGAAGGGCTCAGGTCCTTGAACTGAAGGGCAGTGCAGCCGAAGTGAAATAATCCTGCCCTTTGGAGGCAGATTCCAAATTACAGCTCTGCCACTTTTTCTACCCCTCTGCTGGGAGCTCTGGTTCTCCTGTTTGTAAGCGGGGGTAGTAAAACCTCTTTATCAACAAGAGGTTTTTCTTTTTTTTTTTTTTTTTTTAGTTTTTTTTTCAATACAGGGACCATTTTTAAAGTCTTTATTGAATTTTGTTACAATATTGCTTCTGTTTTATGTTTTTTGGCCGTGAGGCATGTAGGATATTAGCTCCCCGACCAGAGATCGAACCTGCATCCCCTGCACCAGAAGGCAAAGTCTTAACCACTGGACTGCCAGGGAAGTCCCAATGATGAGGTGTTTTTCAAAAATATATTTCTGAAAGTTAGTCTGGCATTACTGAAATCACTCGCAAGAATGACGAGACTATAAAGGAGAAACTAACACACCATTGTAAAGCAATTATACCCCAATAAAGATGTTAAAAAAAAAAAAAAAGAATGACAAGACTAGCTGACGTGCCCAACAGAACTTTATCCAGGGCCTTTCTGACATGAAAGCCAAAAACAAAAAATTTAAAAAAGATTTTAAAATCTATGCATGTTTCCCCTTCAGACTGTAACACCAAAAATTCAGTGATGACTTAGGTAAATCATCAGGCTAGAAGGGAACCAGGTTGGCCTCTTGCCTTTATATAAAAATTCTGGGGGCTTCCCTGGTGGCACAGTGGTTAAGAATCCGCCTGCCAATAAAGGGGGCACGGGTACGAGCCCTGGTCCAGGAAGATCCCACATGCCGCGGAGCAACTAAGCCCGTGTGCCACAACTACTTAGCCTGCGCTCTAGAGCCCAAGAGCCACAACTACTGAGCCCACGCGCCACCGCTACTGAAGCCCGCGCGCCTACAGCCCGTGCTCCACAACAAGAGAGGCCACCGCAATGAGAAGCCCGCGCACCGCAATGAAGAGCAGCCCCCGCTGGCTGCAACTAGAGGAAGCCTGCGGGCAGCAACGAAGACCCAACGCAGCCAAAAATAAATAAATTAATAAATAAATCTATTAAAAAAAAAAAATTCTGGGACTTCCCTGGTGGTCCAGTGGTTAAGAATCCACCTTCCAATGCAGGGGATGCGGGTTCGATCCCTGGTCAGGGAACTGAGATCCCATATGCCGCTGGGCAACTGAGCCTGTGTGCCACAACTAGATTGCCCACATGCCACAACGAAGCTCCTGCGTGCCACAACTAAGACCCAATGCAGCCAAATAAATAAATAAATATTTTTTAAAAAAAAGAATAAAAGAAAAGGGGGCAAGGACCAAGAAAATATTTTTTTAAAAAAATTCTAGGGGCTTCCCTGGTGGCGCAGTGGTTGAGAGTCCACCTGCCGATACAGGGGACATGGGTTCGTGCCCCAGTCCGGGAAGATCCCACGTGCCGCAGAGCGGCTGGGCCCGTGCACCATGGCCGCTGAGCCTGCGCGTCCAGAGCCTGTGCTCCCCAAGGGGAGAGGCCACAGCAGTGAGAGGCCCGTGTACCGCAAAAAAAAAAAAAAAAAAAATTCTAATTCCTCCTGTGTGCTTCGTACTTCATAGGATTTCAGAGCATGTTCACTCATATCGTACATTCAATCCCAGTCCTGTGCTCCTGTTCCCACACCCCCTCCAACAAAAACCTGGTACTCTAAGCCAAATAAGCATACTGAGCCATGGTGTAGATGACTCGTGAAAGACTCAGAGAAGTTAAATGCCTCCTGAAGGCCACACAGCCATGCAGAGAACTTGTTCCTCGGGCCCCAAGTCCCAGTGCTGTGCTGGTGAACCAGGTCTGGGAGGGCAAAGAGGTGCGGGGGAGTGGGGGGGCTCTGATTTATGGCTCTTGCTGGTTTCCTTGGTGTAAATGCTCCCACCATGGCCAAGTTCAAACCACCAACCGCCTCAAAAATTCCTGAAGATTTAACAGTCAGCTCCTGAGAGCTGGTGGGGGTGGGCCCTAGCACGTCACACCCAAGCCCCATGTTTCCTCTGGAGCACCTTCTTAGTTGGAACACACCTAGCCTCCCAGGCTGGGTGGCTGGCCACTCCTGGGCCGACCTGACACTAATGCAGCAAATGTGTTTTCCAGGCCCTGTAGAAGGTTGCGGTATTCAGTTGGGTAAATTGAGGGAAATTTTTGGCCTTTTCATCGAAACCACATGTAAAAAATCAATCTTGGGCTTCCCTGGTGGCGCAGTGGTTGAGAGTCCGCCTGCCGATGCAAGGGACGCGGGTTCGTGCCCTGGTCCGGGAGGATCCCACATGCCGCGGAGCGGCTGGGCCCGTGAGCCATGGCCGCTGAGCCTGCGTGTCCGGAGCCTGTGCCCCGCAACGGGAGAGGCCACAACAGTGAGAGGCCCGCGTACCGCAAAAAAAAAAAAAAAAAAAAATCAATCTTACACACTGAATCCTATCAGAGTGGGAATTAGCAGGACGGATCTAGAAAAGGCACATCATAGCCAGAAATAAAATCTCTACCTCGCCAACCACCCTCATTTCTTATCTAAATTGGCAGATGAAGAGGTTAAAACCTTCTTAAAGTTATTCACACATCCACATGTGAATCGGAGCAATGCAGGAGGCTTTCCAACTCAAGGCCACCTCCTCTTGCATCCTTCTTAGTGGCACTCTGATATTCCTTATCAAAACCCTTTCACATTGTTCAATAATTCACATCTATTCCCCATCTCCCACCCTGACCTCCACACACCCAAACACCCAAGCTACGTGTTTCTCAAGAGAGAGGTTTTGGTTTATTCCTGCAAACAGATGCTGAAGACCTGGGGCATCTCAGGGTCTCAAAAAAAAAAAAAACTGTGTTAAATGATTATCAATTCTAGTTAAATGAATAACAATTCTAGCCTCCCTCCATAATTTTACCAGTGAAAATGAAAGGAATAAGAGAGACTGAGGTGTTAGGAAATTATCAGGAGAAGAAACGAAAGTCAACACAGCTGGTGAATGTCTGGAATTATTCTGCAGGCCTTATTTGGCAGGTGTTTCTTGACCTGGGAGTCGATAGAAGCCAGAAGCGGAAAAGTGTATATGTTGAATGAAAATTAGCTGTGTGTTCTGAGCCTGTGGCTTAGGCCACATGTGTGCAGGAGGAGAGCCCTGTATGTATGTGAGAGCCAGTCAGATGAGGGCTGGGAGGGTAGGTTGTGTGTGAGCTGCAGGACAGGTGCCAACAGAACGACCAGCAGGATGACCAGGATGCCTGAGTGATAGGGTTAGCTGTGTGGCTGGGTAGCTTTCAGCGCTTCCAAAGTCCACACACCTGTGGACAAAGCAATGCAGGGCCTGAGACCCTGGGAACGCGTCCCCTCACCCGCACCCCCCTACCCCCCCGCCACGCCGGCCCCTTACCTTGCGTTTCTGAAAGTGGCTCCAAGGCAGGTCTGCGAGGCAGTGCCTGGCTTGCTCAAGAAGCACAGCACTAAGAACGGCAGGAGCCTTTGAAGGGCTCGTGGCTTCCTGTGAGCACCAGCTCTGTTCCTCATCCATCTATGCTGAGTTCAAGTGGGGTTTTTTGATAGAAGTAAGATGCAGAAAATGAGTGACTCTTAGCTTGGGTTCGGGTTAAACTCTTAGTCACTCATTTCCCCAAACTGAAAGCTAGGAAGGTTTGCTCTCTGCAAGATGAGGGAAGTTAAGTTTTTCAAGAGAGAAACTTTTAAATGTTTTAAAATTTATTTGTTGGATTTTTAAATTTTTTCATTTTAGCTGGCTATGTGCTGTAGAAGTGATCTTTATACTCTGGATCAGTGGGCTGTTTGTTATTTCCCCATCATGGATGTACAGTGGCCAGCAATCAAGATATTCAGTGTTCTCTAAACAGTGGGATCTGAGGAGGTTGGAGTGAGAGGCCAGATTTATTTAAGAATAAGGATAGTCAGGAGGAGAGAAAAGTGTATCCAAATGTCTGGCAGTGACGTGGAGGCCCTAGTCAACCACATTCAATAAACATCCTCAGCCTGGTGTAAAGTGACATGACAACAAAGCTCTAAGCCCTTTTCCCAACAGGAAGAGCCCTCCCCCAAGCCCCTTCCACCGAGAAACAGCAGAGCTTCCCCTGACAGTGCTCCTGGCTGAGAGCTTCTTCAGGTTCATGTACCCATCATAGCCAAGGAGCTGACATCAGTCCTGAGTCTTTTCTATATGGCATCCTGCCAGCTTCTGCCAGCTCCCAGCCATTTCCTTCTATGTGTCCACAGTTGCTTGGCTCTTTGGTTCAGCTTACAAGAGCCACAAATGTCATTTTTCCTGAGGAATTTGCATAAATAAGAACTGAAAAATTGAGCTAGAGTGGTGTTTATCAACCTTTTTTTTTCCATTATCACCCCTCCCAAGGAGGCTTTTTGGATTTTTTTTTCCTAGTCACCTCCCCATGATATATTTTAATACCACAGATAAATAGGGAAGTTCCCTGGTGGTCTAGTGGTTATGATTCAGTGGCCTGGGTTCGATCTCTCGTCTGGGTACTGAGATCCCACAATCTGTTCGGTGCAGCCAAATTAATAATAATAATAATACCACAGATAAATAGTAAATCTGCTTATGTTTCATATATATATATATGCAAATATATATGCTTTATATATATATATATATATATATATAAGAGTAAGGTTTGTTTAGGGTGGGGGGAGTTGCTTCTGGCTTCTAATGGGAAAAGACCAGAAATGCTGCTTAAAATCCTACCGCACACAGGCCAGCCCTCCACAATACAGTCATCCGGCCCAGAAGGCCAGCAGTGCTGAGGCTGAGGACTCCTCAGCGAGAGTAATATTCCCACCTGTGAACTGTGGAACCAGATTCATAGAAATCCGGTGAAAAGGAAATAGACAAATAACCTTAGGGAATGCTGGGCTT